GCACGTGTATGACACGCACTCCTAATTTTGACGAGAGTTGCTCAAGGGTGAGCGACGGTTTAAAATGACCGAACCTAAATCAAAACGCTTTTGCGGAAACAACTGATAAATATCATAAGTAAAACTGATCTCACTAACAAGATATAGATATAAAAAGGTAATATAAAAAATTTTTCAAGAGCAAAAGGAACGAGCAGCAAAGGGAGATGAAAGTTCGACGGCATTCCGACTTTGGAATGTCATATCTATTGTTTTGTTGCCGTAGTCACAACCCTCAAGGGATTTAAAGTATGGACCCAACATGGTAGCAAAGGTACACATTGAAGAAGAACAATGGCCAACTCGATGTTGACTTCACAAACGGATCCTAGTCAGTTGGCGCTTCACACAAAAGAAGTTAAACTCCATCTTGCACGCAGTCTTGCTCTAGCTTAAAGAACTCAACATCTCCTTGCATAAATCTGAAGTTTCGACGATCTAAGATCTAAGATATACGAGACCCACTTCTGGAAAACGAACAACTGTCCCCCTTCTCTCTATGAAAACACCTACTCCGAAACACGAACAACTGCCTCTCACTCTTCTCTCACGCAGTCACTGCTTCCAAAAGAAACTACTGTTCTTCTCTCCTCTACACAAACAACTACATATCTCCTCTCTTCATGAAGTCACTGCTCCAACTACTCAAAAGAAAATTACCCGAAAGAATAAGAAAACGTTCCATCCGTCCATCACTACAATAAAAAACTTGAAAACTAAAAATTCTCTAAACCTCGGATGGGTGCAACCAGTTCTGGACTAATATTTATAAACCAATTATATTATTGGTAAAACTATACCTATAAATTAATACCAACTAACCAATAATATTCCTTCACTAGTACTGACAATTATTTGTAGTGCTGAAACTACTTGTAGTTGCAGCACCAGAATAATTTTAATAAATCTTAGACTACAGTTGTTCTCGTTTATGTCAAGCTCCAAGACTAACTCGCAAATACCAGTATACACTAGATCTATTGAGACTAGGAGATTAAAGAGTAAGATTAAGATTGGTATTAGACTAACAAGTTGCACAAGTCTATACGGCCGAAAATAAGCGTGACGAACAGACGGTGTACCTTATCTGAAATTACTCTATGAGTGATTTACCCCGGACAAAAACTCTTATGCATGAATTCCGAGTTTTTAGCCAGAATATCCATGATATTTGAAAGTATAAACATTATTTTGAAAGTTTTGTTTTCATGAAACCGTGAAGATAAAGCGAAATTTTGACAGGAAAAAAGAGAAAAGTTCTAAGCGAACAAAATTAAAAGAATTAATTTAGTTGTGACAGTATTGGGTTTTTTTCCGAAAAAAGATATAAAATTTGTTAACGCTCTAAATACACTCGCGGATAACACAAGAAAAAAAGCGCAAATAACAAAATGAACTTTTAGTTCCGAGATTTTATTTCAGAAATTTCTGACAATTTTATCAAAATTCTGCCAACCAGAAAAAATTGAATTCAAAGGTTTTTGAGGCACGGTTGCTTTAATTTGTGAAGAAAATGGCGGAATAACTGAGCTCGGGGTGGTTTTTGTCTCCAGACAAATTTCTATTTTTTCACTAGCCATTTTTGACAGTGTTTTTGTAAAATTTATGTATGAAAAAGCTATTTATGAAAGATATTTTGTATTAAAGCTATTCATCATTTTTCATAAGATTGAAAACTACTCAATAGACGTCAGAGGGCAGTTGGAACACTCAAGGCGTCACGCTGATACGAGCAGTCTTGTTTTTTTTAACGGTTTCAGTAATAACTGGTAGTTTTTTCTGTTCTTTTGAGTTAATTGACACTTTTTCAACTAAGTGCATGTTTCGCGGAAGGACACCAACGCAGTCGAGCTACAAAGAATGAAATGATTTTTAATTTTTCACTTTTTTATGTTCTTTTGTGTCGCTGTGGGAATGGATAAATCTACATGGACGTTTGCGGGCCATGACACCTTGTGCGTGGATGATCCGATCCAATTCGGAGTGAGTGCCGCTCAGAGGTTGTTGTGGGGAAAGCGGGTGATAATCATGGGCTGCAGTGTGCAAAGGGATCTGTATAAGGACATAGTGTTATTATTGCAGGAGCAGAGGTACTTGACCAAGCAAGAGAACAAGGTCAAGGTACGCTTGCTCGAATTGCTTTCCAAGTCACCAACCTAGCCCCATTTAAAATCTTATTTTTATTTAAAATCCAAATGATTTTCTAAGAAAATCTCAAAGCGTTTGAGCAATCTCAAAACCCTTTTTTGAGAAAACTTCTTGAGACTAATTTCATAAACAACAGGCCGGTTTTTTGAAGGTTTTTGTTCAAACGCGTTTCATGGGCGCCAAAGGTGTCTCAAGAAAATTTTTTACTAATGATCAGTCAAATGTGGATTGCAGAATTGTACCAAAGGGTACCAAAAAATTGACCCTTTGGAAAAATTGGCGGCCATAATTGAGGGAGAGAGTGCTCGTCCTCCTTATGCACGCTCGCAATTTATAGTTTTGTTATTTAAAGTATATTTGTTCGTGTTTTGAGGGTCCCAAGACTGTTGTCAATGACATACTACTCGATGGGGGTATTTTCGAGGAACTAAAGAACGATCCTTTGTATCGAGAAGTCCGCGAGTATCGCCAGGGTGAATTCCACGTTCGTTTCTACTTCATCACTAAGTCATTCAATTCAATAGTGTGGGCGTTCGTGCACAACATCTACGCCGATTTCCACCCTGATGTTTTCTTTATCAACTCAGCTATCTGGGACGTGAACAGAGGCGGTATTCCGTTTGATCGCTTTGCCTACAAGCAGAATGTGCGTTTGATCTGCAAAAGGCTGGTGTTTCTCTTCTCATCGAACTGCAGACTTATCTGGCTTCACCAGCCCCCAGTTACCCAAAAGTGTTCATCTGGAGGAATAGTTCAGCCGGCCGACCGAGAAGTGTTGAAGTTCAATGTGTTGCAGTGGATAGAAGAGGCTGTCTGCATCGCCGAGAACGTAGCTAAACAACTCGGATTCGAGACAATCGACCTATACCACCTCATGAAGCACAGGTTGAACTGGATTGGTAAATTGCATCACAATTTTTTCGAACTAATTATCCATTAATATTTTGTATTAGAAGCTTCGTTGAACAAAATTTTCAGAAAGGTTGGACAAAATTTTTAAAAAGGCTGGATTACGTGAGGTTTTAAAATGCAAAAAAAAACATAAGAAACAGTGAAATGTTAAATAAATTCTAATTCGTGTACTAGACCAAAACAAGGTCCCAAAAAATGCTTAGAAAATTCAAAATTCAAACAAATAAAGGCGGTTGCTGTCAAATAGCAAAGAATGTTCCGACCGACCACATTTATAAAAAAAAGACAACAAAAATTTTTGTATCGTTAAAGAAGCGCTGAATGAAGCTTCAAAAACTATTTAAACCAAGTTTCGTACTACAAAAGTAAGATCTAGTTGCTTTCGTTACGCGCTTAAAGTTAGACTAAAATTTCAAACAGGTTTTTCTTGACAATGGGAAGTTTTTTAAAATATGATATTTTAATGAAACAAATTTTCTGATTTATTGTGATATGTAATTCGACCTATTCCGATGGCTGTTTGCAGTACCTGAATTTGCCTGGAGAGAAAAAAAGTTATACAGAACTGGAATGTTAACGAAACAAACGTACGAACTTCAGTTGTTACGATGGGCACCTACCTTAGTCGATCAAGGGAGGTTATCTTGCAAGATTCCTTTAAAGAGGATGCATCTCTTTAAAAGATCTTGCAAGATTCTTGCAGGATCTTGCAAAATAATTTTCTTTAAAGATAACCTCTTTTAAAGGAAACATTTTTTTTTGCAAAATCTTGGAAAATACAAGTTTTTTGGGCAAAAACAGCTTTACACGCAAAGCCAACCAAGTAGCGTTCGTGGAAGAAGGAAGCAATTTTAGCTACACATACATACACACAGCCGTCTAGGCGGTTGACCACAGAAAGCATCATTTTTTTACTTTCTTTGTGATAGGCGGTTATTGTCAAGTTTTGATTGACAAGTTATTCCTAAATCTCTCAAAAAAGGAAAAAACACAGTTTATATTAAATGAGATTATAAATGTAAAGACGTAAATCCAAGCAAAGAACAAAAGCACCAGATGAAAATTAGTTTTTCTTAACTCAGTTTTTTCACACAATTGCGTGTGTATTCTAAAAACTTTTCAGTTCTTGAGTCGTCACTTGAGCTTCCAACTTCGTCGCTGATGGCTTTGACGATAATAATGACGGCTTTCGTTTGGATATTTTTTGGGAGCATTTAAGAGTACTCATTTTTTTGATAAAACACAAATTTGGAGAATCTCAAAAACCAGAAACAAAGTACCCAATCTAGAGCCGCCACTTAGCCGCAAAAATCATTTTGATGATTGATGAAGTAGGTTGCTGCTCGATGTTGTAGGCTGCTGATGAAAACATTTTTCTCGTCTTGAACATAAAAACTTTTCTCATCCTAGAAAAAATTGATCGAAAAAAATGAAATTATAAGTTTCTCGTTTTCTTCAGGAAATTTTTGATGGAATGGAAAAAGCAAGATTACAAGAAATGCTCTCAGTTACTTCTAACCATGATTACTTTCAATAAGTTTTGAGTATGGTTTTGGTCTATAAATTTTTAACGAACAGTTTTCAAAAAGGGCAAAAATAAGTTTTTATTTCAATAATCGTTTTTGAAACACTTAGTAGACTGCGAAAAACAAAGATGCATGAAACGCTGAAAAATTTTCAAAAAAAATGAAGAGACCCTTTAAATGTTTTGTGTGGCTCTTCGAAAAAACTTCAAAAAAATGTATTGGTATTTTTTCAAAGTTAATTTCCAAAAAATTTTTGCAGACTGAATAAAATTAGGATACAAGAAACTCTATCATATCTTCTAAACAACTAACAAGTTTTGAGAGTGGCTCTGGTCAAAAACTTCTACAAAATAAAAAAAATAGAAAAAAAATATTATTTTTTCGTTTCTTGGAAACTTTTTTCAGAAATCGTTGCTGAAAAAGAAAACACAGGATGTTCAAATGTAACCTTCAAACAATGAACAGGCTCAGCACTTTAAAATTTTCTTAACGGTTCACATAGAAAACTATTTCAAATATTCACTTTCTATAAAAACGAATTTTCAACTAATTTCTGATGACATCCACAAATGTGTCAGGAATTCCGACGAATAATGATTAAATTGTCTACGAAAAAATTTAACGCCCTTTTTACACTAATTAAAGATAGGAAATATTTTATGTTTTTGAAAACTTTGGTTAAACATTTCCACAGTTCCAATCCAATTACTTCAAATAACTATGTGAAAAATTCAGCACCAGTGTTTTTCATTGAGTCGCAAGATATTTTGATAGTTTAAACAGTTAACCTTCTAGAATTAAATGGCTCCTTTGGGTTTAATTGTAAATCATTCATAAGCAAACAGCTCACCATAAAAAAATTAAAGGTTTTTGAGCGTGGATGCGCAAGGTACACTTGGGACTCCACAAAGAAACTTCTGATTCCGCAAAAAAATGAGAAAATAGCTTTTAGGAAAAAAACGGACGCTACGGAATCAACAACTGAAACTTGGCTAATTTCATTATAATTTATCAAATTTTTAATTTTTATGCTCTTTTTAAAATCAAAGAGAACAGATATTTCCGCTTCATTTTGCTTTGTTTTTATTAATTGAGTAAAGCATAAACTTTGCAGAACAAGAGCACAGCCTACTCGATTTTCAAATTTGAAGTTTTTCAATTTCTAAACAGGTCTAATCCATCCCTCCCCCTCAACGATTGCCCTTTTGTCATATTACTCCCCTTAGCAATTGTCCCTCTGTCCTTTACTAACCCCGCCACCCCCTCACCAGAAAAACGAATCAACCCCCCATGAATTGCATTTTGTTCCCTTACGGGGCCAAAATGTGCACTGGTTAGACGCACAATTTTCTGTCTATATGTTTTTTGATTCCAGAGACAAAACTTCAAAACATGTTAAAATTTTGTCGGACCGATCAAAGAGAATTAAAGAACAAAAGAAGAACAAAGGGAGCGTCACTGTTGTGGAATTCGCTTACATTTCACAAAATACACAATTTGTTCTCGTAATGTCCTGGGAAGAAAATATATTTTTTTCCCAATTAGAATACTTTTAAATTGACCAAAATTTAGTCTCAAAGAAAAATTAAAAAGAAGTTTATCAATTTTTTTTATTGGAAAAACAAAACAAATATCAAAATTATTTCAAATTGTTTGTTCTGAATTTGGGAAAGTTTGAATCACTGCAAAACAGAACACACATGATTAATCGAGAGCACACTCAACACATTTTTTAACATTCTATTGTTTTCTTAAAGAATTTTTGAGATAGTTACCTTGCAAGATCTTGTAAGATTCTTGCAAGATAGCCTCCCTTTTCCAAGATTGTTGCCAGATAACCTCCACCTTGCAAGATCTTGCAAGTTACGCTCCATTTTGCAAAATCTGGCAAGATAACCCTATTTTGCAAGAATCTTGCAAGATCTTGCAAGATACTCCTCTTTTGCAAGAACCTTGCAAGATCTTGCAAGATAACCTCCTTTGATCGACCACGGTATACTCAATGTGTTGAGAAGGTTATATTTTCATATGTCAAACTTAATTCAAAAAAAATATTTTTTTAAACTTATTTATAGTTTTTTCCTTCTGATTTTAGGTACTTTAAGGAAAAGATAAATAAGGGTCAGCTGTGACATCTTATCAGATTCCTACTGGACCTAATTTTAATTCCAAAAAAATGTTCCAAAAAGTTTCCGTCGGGGAAAAATGGTCTAAAATTTCGGCTGTTCAGACCAATTTGGATCAAAATTGTTCTAAGAACTGGTTTTCAAACAATTTGGTTTTTTGAAAAAATACTATTGCCTCCTCATCTCCCTTCTTCAAAAAGAACTAAAACTCAAACAGTAATTAAAAAAAACAGTGAAAATTTTTTGTTTTTGAGTCTTTTCTTTGCAAACTAAAAATATTCGGAACTTTCTGCGCAACATTGATAACCGCTTTGACTTCAACTCGGTTCTCTCCTTGTTTTGATAGATGATTCATCTTTTGTTGTTCTGTTCAGCTAAAGATGGTGTACATTGGGCTTCGGAGGGCTACAGGTGCATGTCTTTGCTCGTGTTCCACAAACTCAGTGACATGTACAATATCCCACTACCAGAAGAGGGTGTGCAGTATGAGTATCCCTGAAGTAAAGAGCTGAAGAAACTAAAAAAAAAAAACAAATATCTTTTCCAATAATTAAGAGTAAATTGCAAAAAAAAAACGGGATAGATTTTGTTTCGAAAGATTTTAGTTTGTAGATTTCCCAGCGTGATTTAATTAGTTTTATTCAGTTAATATCAATTACAAACAAGTGTGATAGTTGAATATGACTGTTTGAGAGCCGAGATAACCTATTATTTTGAAAAGGAGATGATAAAGTATTCCGTTTTCCGCTCTACGACGAACCAAAATGCGCCCAAAGCTTTCTGCTGCAATGAATAGATTCGAGTGCTTCAACAAAAGTTTCTGGCAGCATAGAAATTCTTGCAAAAGAAAAGTCGAGCTGACGCTCCGACATGATTTGTTAAAGAAACGACATGAGGATTTCGAACAAAAAATATTGAAAAAAAGTAGAAGCAGTCTTTGTTGAGTTTTCATTCTACCTACAAATGTATAGAAAAACAGACCGTGTGTCACTCGGCGTGTTCGCGATTTGATTTCTTTGCAATAAAAACGCCTCTCATACAATTTCAGTGATGGAGTTTAAGGAAAAAACGCTTATCATACGACTATCATAAAAATAATTTTATGATAACCGTTTGGACTTTTGAATAAGCTTTTGAACATCTGTTTACCATACATTTTTTTGTGAAAAATGCGTGCAATGGACTTTGTGTGAAAGCGTAGATCCAGAAGTCACATAAAATTGTTTTTTGAAGAAATAAAATACGCAATTTTTAAAATTAGATGTTAGGACAAACATGCCCCTTTTTTCATCCATCTCCATAGCAGAAACTTGCTAGCCATATACAACAAAATAGGTTTTTATAACAATCAACGAGTAAGTCAAAACAATAATTTACATGGCAAATCACCAGGTGCACTTTATCTGAACAATGCATATCATACAAGTTCACGAACAAAATATACATAAAAAATGCTTAACACACAAAGAATAGAAAAATTGAAAAAATTGAATGATACTCATTTTTCCATCATAAATATTTCATTATATATGATCTTAAATTGTTTTAAAGGTTAAATCAAACAATTTTGTGCAACTTTTGTTGCATAGGAGAGAATTTGGCATCATAAATACCTTTTTTAACATAGAAGTGATTATTGCTCAGTTTCTTAAGAAAAAATGTACAGAAATTGTTCCAAATTGAAAAGTTGGTGACCAGAAATGAGGAAGAAGGTGTCCACCCGCCCTCTGGATCGACATGCCAGTGGGTAAAAATCTAGTTTTTAGAATACATTCTAAAATGCAAGTCTCAATTAGTCACATTAGCAAACATTTGAGTTTAAGCCAGAGGTAGCTTTGTCATAGAGTAATTTCGGATAGGGTACACAGTCTGTTCGTCACACTATCTTATTTTGGGCAGGATAGATTCGTGCAACTTCTTAGTCTAGTACCAATCATAATCTTACTCTTAAATCTTCTAGTCTCAATAGATCTAGTGTATACTAGTATTTGCGGGTTAGATTTATGGAACTTTTCCAAAGGAGAACAACTGTATTCTATGATTTATTCAAATTGTTCTGGTGCTGAAACTAAAAGTAGTTTCAGCACTACAAATAATTGTCATTGTAAGTAGATCATATATAATTGTCATATGTAAGTAATATTTTATAGAGATAGTTTTATCAATAATATAATTGGTTATAAACACTAATTTTAAACTGGTTCCACATTGTAAGACTATGAAATTTAATTTTCATATAGTTGAAAATGTAGTTTTGTGTTAAACATTTTGCAATTGTTACGATGTGAGCTAGATAGCCGTTCAAACAATTCGTTGCAAAAAATTCAAAAAATCAAGCTATAAAATAATTGTTTTTATCTAAATATCGTTGGGGAAGAGCTAAGACATGCATTTTTGTGCGTTTCAGGCCCTGAGCTTGAACTTCATCTTTAGCACTATTAGGGACAATCATATACTGGGAAAGGCTGTAGGATCACTGATCCTGGCACTTTCTCACCAATTTCAAATTTTGACTGAGAGTTTTACCTTGAGAAATGAATGCATTATAATGAAGCTTAATGAGTAGTACGTAGCTTGGTATTCACTAACAAATACGATGATTAGAAACAAAACGACAGAGCAATTTCGAAATTAGTTCAACTCTGAAGGAATAAGTCCCTCCTCTGAGGAAAAATTTCAAAAAGGTACAAAATTTGCAAGAACCCCAAATGGAAACTAGCTGAGCTAACTATATGATACTAATAGGACGGATACTAGAGATGGTTTGACCCGGGTTTGCAAACTCTAGACCCCTCGGACCCCCTGCCTCAAATGAAAACGGTTCCCGCAAGTGCACATAGCCCTTTTAGAACTCGCTAACTAGCGGTTGGAATAGGACCAAATTTTTTTGTATGTTATAGACCTAGATGAGGGAAGTTTAAATTTAGAACTCCAGACACTCAGGACTCGTGCTTCCGGTCCGGCGCTATGTTCTATGCAAAGAGTCCCTTCGATTTCTGGAAGTATTTTTTCGCCCTCAAAAAACGCAGGGAGCCAAAACTTTGACATATGGTGGGTAATGATAAAATACATTATATGTTATATTATGTGCCAAATCCCGCGCTCAGACCAAAAGTTATAAGCACTTAGAAAAAACAACCCTTAAACTGGAAACAGGCAATTTACGCAAAATCATAAGTGGCGCCATCTCAATTTTATGACGCCAGTCGACAGAAGAAACTATACCCAAAAAAGACCCCTGGAGAGTAAAGCACCTCCAACGGCTCCTTCCGTTGGTAAATGGTTTTTTTTTCCCGGGAAAATTGATAATGGACCTTAGAAATTGCAAAACTTGGGAAGTATTGAATAAAGTATAGACTGGAATTGCAGATGCTTGAAATGAATGAGCGGTCTACAAAAAAGGTTTTCACTTACCACCTGTAATTAAAGAAAAACCTTGGGAGACTAGTTTAAAAAAATAACTTGGCTTGGAGGTAAAATTGGACTTGACATTTGCACAAATCAGCTAGAAACACCCACAAAAAACTTGGAATATAAGACTAGTGTCGTCAGAGGAAGAATTCAGTTAATAACTTGCAAAAGAGGTACTAAAAAAATGTCAGAACGTTTAGGGACGTCATATCTCCAACTATAACTAAAACGCATATAGACAAACGTTGTGGAGATGAACAAATAACCTACCCTTAGGCAGAAGAAAAGTTGACCACTTGAAAAGTGAGAGTAGTTGGGTTTTCAGGGTTAGAGAACAATTTTTGCGAATTTAAAGTGAAGTTCGTTCTCAGAGTTAGAGAAAGAGAAACTGTGAAGTTAGAGAGATCAGTTAAATTACCTCAAAGAAAAGTGATCCGTAGAGACACTATTTATTTTAGCTGGTCAAATTTAGTAGTTGCGCGGATTTATGTGCGTGTAAATGTTTAGTTGTGATTCTCTAGAGAATAAAAATTGGTTAGTTATGTTAGTTAAGAGTTGAATTGCATTTCGGCAACTGTGTAGGTTGATCGCGTACCCTTTTGTTTTTAAAATTTTATTTGATTTTTCTAGGCACTTCAAAGTGTCTGTATTTGGACCGATGTTTATCTGAAATTAACTATTACTGAAAATTTCTGCGATCGTGAGGGCGGACGAGACATCATTAGGAGCAGTACGCAACGGGGACAAGTAACAGAATACAGTACGAAATAGCTGCCACCAACTTCATCCTTTCGGATTGTGGATAGTATTGAGTCTCCGTCGCCCCACTGGCTTCTTTATGCAAGGGACCACTTTGCAGTCTCGTTAGGTTAGAAGGTGTGAACAGACATAGGGAGCAATCTCCTAATTCTACAAGAACGGCCATTTGTTACTGACTCTGAAAATGCCATGCATGGTTTTTCAAGACCATGAGTAGTTTTTCCATAACGTAAAATAACGTAAAACGACATTGTAAATTGATCTATCTAGGAGAAATTTTTTCTATGCGGTCTTTAGAAATATACCTTATAGATATCGAAAAAATTTTTCCACTACTGTCAGTGGGTCAACTGCAAGATTTGATGCAATGATTATCAGTGGCCACTCCATTTTTCAATTCATCTTTTTAGAAGGGAATGAATTTCGAGTTTACACATTGAGTTTATGAAATTTTGAAATGTAGTTTCGGTTTCAAAGTTTAGTCGAATTTTTAACGATCCAAAAAGATACTAACCATTCAATTTGAAGGCATATGCCCTGATGTTTTTGTTTTCCATCATATAAATCTCAATGATTTAGCAAAATGTCTAAACTGTCAAAGACGAGGACAGATACTGCTTCAAAAAATTGACTTGCAATTTTCATGTCGCCCAGTACACTTTCTGAAGCCGCACCGTGTTCTCTTAATCGAAAAAACTTTGCTTCGAAGCCTTCACATCGAAGTCTTCACAATTGTTTGTGAAATATTTAAAAAGACTCAAACGTTCGATTATATGTTTTCAATTTTTGTAAAAAGGAAACTTTTTTAATGAAGTTGTAGCTAAAATAACTTGAGCAAAAATTTTACGGCAAAAAAAAAATCATTTCATTCTCTGACACACTTCCAAACACAAAAAACTGGTTACAGTTTTTGAATTTTCCTTGCGACATTCAGTTTTTGTTTGTTAGCCTTCAAACAATATTGACGGGGCTCTAGGCATCTGTAGAGATTTTGGAATCTCAAAGTTTCTCCGCCTTAGTTGGTAGATATCAAAGATGTCGACTGAATCCTACAAAAATTCAATTGGGTAACAACGCTTCCTGAGTGCGATAACTAAAAGAATTGACCTATTCAGGTATATCAAACAAAATGTGAGTCTGCAGTTGGTCTAGACAAAAAAAGTAACTACTATAAATTTTGAACAATTACTGGAACTCAGAACTGTTGGCTGCGCCATTCGAAAAAGTAAATAACGTACTATTGAAATCTAACCAAAACTAAAATAGGTTGCTGTTTAATTACTGAATGAGATATGCTTAGGTAACTAAACTCAAATCATATTGCTACTG